GGGGTGGGAGGGCAGAAGGCAAGGGGTTTGCAGAACCTGCAAGGCAGGGCTGGGATCCAGGAAAATTTCCTTGGGTCCCAGGAAACACTGGAAAGGGCAGCTGGGGCAGGGGAGGGTGAGGAGTGAGGCCGGATGAAGTCTCAGGGGACATCGGTGAGGACAGGGGGCCCAGGGCTGTGTGTGAGGATGGCGCCCTGAACAGGGTGGGCCCCGGTGGGCTGGGGAGAGAAGGATGGGGAGGGGCCTAGCCAAGGGCGAGGGGGCCTGGGCCTGACAGGGACACACTGGATGTGGCCTGGCAGGGCTGGGATGCTTGGAGCCTGGCTGGCAGGGGCAGCGGGCTCTGGGAGCAGTGAGTCGGCCCCCACTGCAAGGGGCCAAGGTGCGGTCATGGTGGGACGGGGCTGGGTGTGGCCTGCCGGGCCCTGTGTATCAGGTACCTGCCGCTGTGTCACGAATTAGCCCCAAACACAGCTTCACACAGCCCAGAGGCCGCAACTCCTGCAGCTTCCCGCTGCACCTCGGGCTGCCCCGCCTGCAGGGCTGGGGCTGGAGGGTCCATTACCAGGATGGGTGTTGGCTGTAGCCCCCCACCCTCACCGTGCACCTCAAAGGAGCCACGCGGCCTTTCAGAACCGGCGTGGACAGGGCTGCCATGGGCTGTCAGGGCCACCGTGCCATGTGTGGGGTGAGGGGCAAGGGGCACACCATCAGTGGGGCAGCAGGGCCGTCTGGGGGGCCGGCTCCTGTGAGCTGACGGCCCGGGGCTCAGGCCCCCTCGGTGGATGAGGGAGCCGGCCTCAGCGTCCTCACCCGTAGCTCCCGGCCAGAGGCGCCCCCGTCGTGGGGTTGGCCGGGGTCCGAGGCAACATGGGGACACCACCAGCCCCGAGCCCGGCCCCAGAGGGTGGAGAAGGCCCTTCCGTCACTCTTACCAACACCAGCGGCCGTGGGCAGAGGCGGGCTGGGGAGAACGGCCCCCCGACAGTGTGTCGCCCCTTTCAGCTGGGCAAGCAGGGGCTGCAGCGGCCTCTGGGACTGGGGGCCCACGAGGGCTTGTGCTCCTGAGTGACAGCAGAGGCCCCCCGAGGCCTCGGCCTGTGGCCACCACCTGGCTGAGATCACACTCACATTTTTCAAGATGCGCAAACAAAACCACAGTGTTGTTACAAGGCTAAGTCCTGCTTTACAGCTGCCTTTGATATATGGTCGTCCTGTTTTAGTCTCGTCCAAACAACCTTCGCTCCTCTCTGAGCAGCTGCGAGGCCTCCTGCTCGCGGCCCGGGAGCCGGACGGAAGCAGGGGTGGCCGCACTCAGAGGTCGCTGGCCCAGCTGGGAAGGAGCCACACGTGGGCATGTGGGGCCCCCAGCCAGGGCCCACTCCAGAGGCCCAGAGAGACCCCTGCTTTCTCCTGGCGGGAGAGGGCTCAGCCTGGCTCTTGGGGTTGGGTGGGAGGAGAGAAGGTGCTTGGTTTCCTTCAACGTTGGGGGCCCCGTGTTCTGGGGGCTGCTGTGTGACATCCTGTGGTCAGGACAGGGAAGGGGGGCTCCGAGACTCACCCTGAGCCTGGCGTGGCTGGAGCGGGTCCTCTTGGCACCAGCCCTGGACGAGGTGCACACAGTGTTTCCTGCCCCTCGGGCCCCACCGTGGGCCCGTCCAGACGCTCGGACTTCGGGGCCTCTGGCCTTCTTCCCAGATCACTGGGAGGAAAGGACTGACCCCTTTGGGGCTGCCGTGAGCCCTGCCCCGTCCCGGGAGCCCAGCTCCCCGTGTCCAGTCTGAGTCCTTCTCCTTGGTGGGAAGGGCAGGGGAGACGAGACACAGCGCCCGCTGCCTGCCCTCCCCAGCGCCTCGGAGAGCAGGCACGGCCGCCTGGCCGGGCAGGGGTCCGGGGGCCGGGGCAGGGGCTAGCACACTCCTGACGTGGCTCACACCGACAGACAGACGCCACACAACCAGGTGTGACACTTGCAGCGCCGTCTTGGTCCCCGTGTGCGGAGGGCCGGCTGTGAGGACGAGGACAGGCCGGGCAGAGCCCCGTCAGCTGGACCCGCGGCCGCTCCTGGCAGAGCGGGGACCGGCCACCTCCCTGACGGTGCCCCGGTGCGACATCCAGGGGGCGGACTCGCCCCAAGCAGCCCCCGGGGGCGTCCGCGCTCCCGGACTCATGACTCTACGGTTTTCTATTTGCCAAACCAGCCACCGCTTTTTATCTCTCCAGGGGTCCCCACAGCTTCCTGGGGCTCCGGGCCGTGCCATAGTCCTCTCCTCCACGGTCCGGAGCGGAATGCTTCGTCCAAGCACTTCCTATTCTCTTGTGTATGAAGACAACCTCACGATGCTTAGGTCTCCTCCACTGCCTTCTAGAAGCTTCCTTGGGCAGCGTCTTCCGTGCTTCTTTTCCGGACCACCTGTCACGCCGTGTTGCTTCCTGCTTGACCCAACTCACTGTGAGCGCAGCTGTTCCTTTGGCCACGCGCCTCAGTGCGACTGAGAGGTCACTTTCGGCCCCGTTGCGTGTGTCGGAGAACTCGTCTGCGTCCGGCGGTGCGTCAGTGTCTCTCCGGGCACCTCGGACACGGGCCCCTGCAGGCAGGCGCGTCCCGCTGGGGCCGCCTCCCCGGGGAACAGAGGCGCCGCTGGGGCCACGCAGGGAGGCCCTTCTTTGCTCCCCGGGAGCACGTCTGACTTGCTGTTTCTTGCAGAAAATTCTTACTTCTCAGTATTTCTGGCCCGACTTGCCGATGGCGCCCACTCCTGACCTCAGCACAGAGTGGCTTCCTTTTCTCCTCCGCGGGCCCCTTGGTGGGAAAGGGAGGAGGTGCATCGGTCACGACGGGCCAGGTTCTGCTGCCACGACGAACATTCCCAGCAGTGGGTGGCTTCCTGCTCACAGCTGAGCTTTGCCCCCCAGACAGGTCCGCGTGCGCTAGCCGGGCTCTGCTCCGTGCGGTCCCCACCACGCCCAGGCCCCCAGACCACGGACAGGCCACCGTCTGCAGCACTGCTGCTCACCGCGCAGCACAGGGCATCTCACCTGGACTCTGGAAGCTTCCCTGGGGGAGCGGGGGGGTGCAGGCCCACCACCAGCTGGGGGAGGACCGGCTCTGGGCACGGCCTGGGGACAGACCACAGTGGGGGGCCCAGCACAGAGACGGGGAGACTACAGGACGGCACCCGGTCACTAGGACCTGCTTCTACGTGTCCCCCGAGTGCTGGGTGGAGGCGGTTGACGTGTCCGGTCTGTCCCGGGAGGAGGGTGGCTGGGCCGGCTTCACGCTGAGCCTGGAGACGTTCCTTACGAGGCGGTTTTGTGCCAGGATGATGAGGCGGGAGCAGCTCCGGGCCAGGCATGCGGGGGGTGGAGCTGTCTGGTCAGAGACCCTGGGAGACGAACCCGGAGAGCAGGTGGTGGTCCCAGCGCATCCATCTGCTCCTTCTGGGGTGCCAGGACCAGGACATCAACCGGACAACAGGACACCCGAGGGGTGGCCAGGGCGGGGTCCCTCCAGGCCTGGATCAGGGTTGGGGGGCTGGAAGGGACAGCTAGTCGGGCCTGAGGACCAGGACGAAGCCCTGCAGCAGAAGGGGCCTGACCTCCTCCATCCGGGGGCAGCGAGAGCAGGGTGCGGTCCAGCCTCGGGCAGGGGGCAGCGAAGGTAGAGATGCCCCCACATCGGGCCCAGGCTCGCGGGCGTGGCGGGAACCTTCCCAGGGACCCGTGGGAAAAGCCTCGGGTTTGAAAGGTGGCCGCTCACCTCTCCGCTCCAGAAGGGGCTGGGAAGGGCTGTGGGCGGCTCCCGCCTGAGCAGAAGGCGAGCGCAGAGGCGCCAGGTGGTGAGCCAGGAACGCAGAGCCCTGCTCGGCTTGTGGAGACTGATTGCACCACCTTCCCACCCCCGCCCCCCAAGCAGGAAAAGTGATAATGAAGCACGTGACCGCGAACAGGCGCCAAGAAGGAGTTCACGAAACGCGCACTCGGGACTTAGGAGATGGGCTCCTTCCTGTCCTGCTAGGACACGCTGGAGAGCAAACGCCTACCTCGTACCTGCAGAGTCCCTCCTGAAAGCACACACGCACGTGCGCACACACGCTCACACCATCACCCCACGGCCGACATGTCCCCAGGGGTGGGGGGTCGGCACCCCAGAGCCCCCACCCGCACCCGTCTGAGCTGGTGGTCTCTGAGCGCAGGAGCCCGGCGAGGTGGCCGTCAGCCTGGCCCCACTGGAGCCACTCTTCCTCCTCCATTTAGTCCCAATCACTCCTGTCTGGGGTTCAGGCTGCAAGGCCCCAGCGCACCAGGGGCCCCCAGGCACAGGGAGGGTGGGGACCTGGCGCTGGACACAGCATCACTTACTCAAGTCCCACATTTACCTGTGGGATTATCTTTTCCCATCTGCACAGACCGAGGGCCCAAGCCGGCCCCCAGCCTGGGCGTGGGCTGTGGGGTAGACCTGGTCCCCCTGGGCTCCCAGCCCATAGCCCCAGCCGTGCCTGCCCAGCGTGCAGGGTGGCCCCAGTCTCTGCGGACAAACGCTAACAATCCTCTACGAATATGACTCAGACGCTTGCTTTTAGACACATCCTCCAGCAGAATAAAACCCACCAGTCCTAGCTGTCCAGCACATTTATTAAGAAAAGAGATTTAAATTACATACTGTAGTCTTGACACCTACAATGGAACACTTTACATACTATAAAAAAAATAAACGTTTAAGAAGCAACCCGTAAAAATCAAGTCAAGTGAGGGTGGCTGTGTGTCCGCCGGCGGCAGAGGGAAGAGGTGTCCCGGGCGACTCAGAGCACAGTGAAGTGACTCCAACGACCAGAGAAAGCAGGACACCTGTGCCCCGGAGGCAGGATCCCTGAAGGGAAAGCTGGCGGGGAGGCGGCGGGAATCCCCCGTGTCAAGTCTTCAAGCTTCTCCCAGGAAGAGTCGGGGGTCTGGGGCAAAGGGTCCCGCCCAGAGCCGCTGCCTCCAGCCTGGCCTCCAGGTGTGAGTTCCGCTGGCATGGAGCTGACACCCGCCTCGCTCAGACTGGCCACCGTCCCCCGGCCTCCCCCGGTGGGCCCCAGCAGGCCCGGACTGGGCTTCCAGGACAGTTGTGCCTGCCCCGCCAGAGGGGTCCCTTCTCCGTCTGGTGGGGGTGGCTCAGGACGGCCATTGATGAGGCCGGAAGCAGTAGCCAGAATGAGACGGAGCTGGAGGCGGGCCCTGCCGGGTGACAAGGACGAGGGCGAGGGGCACGCCAGCCTGGGGTGTGGGGGTGCAGTCAGACCCCGGGGCATCTGCAGGAGAGGAGAGAAGCCTGGCCGGCTCCTTCCGCAGGAGGCCTGCAGCCGAGGGCCAACCTGTGCCCAATTCTCTAATTAAACATCGTTATGTAATTAGGATCTGCTCCCCCACCTGGCAGAGACGCCGAGGTGGGAGTAATTACCGCTGGGCTAGAAACCAGACACTGAAGGCAGGCAAGGGCGCGGCGGAGGGGGCTGCTGTCAGGGCACCCCAGACCCCGAGCTGCCCTGAACTGAGGGTGGAGGTCTAGTGTGTAAGTGGGGGTCACGGGGCGGCCAGCAGCTCTGTGTTCCCAAGGACGCAGCAGGAAGTGTGCCCGACCCCCCCAGGCCGGCTGGGGGAGCGCCCCGTCTCCGGGCCTTAGTGTCCCTCTGCAGAGGGTCCAGGCCAGGGGCCCCGGGGCCTCTTCAGGCGGCGGGGGCTGCGGGGACAGGGGGGACGGGCTACAGGCCCAGCAGGGGCCGCACGGGGACCCCACGGCCCGGCAGCCTCTGCGGCACCGGGGGAGACATCAGGGTCCAGAAGCAGAAGTGACCGCGTTTTCTCCCGGGGACCTCGAGGGAGACTCCAGAAGCACAAGCCGGCGTCAGGAGCATGCCTGTGATCTTCATTGTAGCCTACGTTGTCTGAACGCCTTTAGAAGAAAAACAGTCTTTGGCTTTAAAATAAGGGACTTTCCATGCAGACCCATGGCCCCAGGTCCAGGAGCAGGGGACCAGCTACCCCAGGATCGCGACATCAGAGAAGGGCCTGGAAGCCATGGCTGTGTGGCCTCCGCCCACCAGCTGCTCTCCTGGACCCAGGAGGACCCTGAGAACCCGCTGGAGGCGTGGAGGGGCTGGGCCCCAACATCTCGGCATGATGACCTCAGCCAGGCCGCGGCACTGGCATTATCACTGCACGAGGAACATTCCAAAAGCAGCACGTTTGGAGTTTGTACAAACCTGGCTTCGCGCGGCACTGGATGCCGACAGGAGCAGCTGTCCGGGCCTGCCTGGCCCTGGGAGTCGCGTCCCCATCCCCGCCCCAGACAAACCTGGTGATGCCCAATGCCCAGAGCACAAACACGGTCAGACCCGCTGAGGCTTCAGGACCTGGGTCGGGTACCAGGAAGACGGTGTGGGAGCCCCATGCAGGACAGTCTGGACAAAGACAGGAGCAGACGGGCAGGGTCACCTGTGCAGCAATCCAGATACCTGCGGCCTGCCCCCACACGGCCAGCCCTCAGCACCGGGCCCTCCCTCCCTCGCCGCGCAGAACCCCGCCTGCAGCTCACACAGAGGGGAAGGAGGCGTCTGCCGGGCCCCAGAGCAGCCCCCCTCCCCTGCACACCGTGTGCAGGCCCGAGGCCAGCCCTGCCGGGCCCTGGGCTCCATCGTCTGGGCCCGCCCAGGCCCCGCTTGTTTCCTGCCTCTCGTTCATTCATTCAGTCAGTCACGCAGCCAGCACCACCTGGGTGCGAAGTTCAGCTTCCTCCCCCAGGAGAGAGAAAGAGGGACGCAAAGGCAGCTGGGAGGGGGCAGAGGCAGGCGGGCAGGCACGGGGGCCCCTGCCCTCAGTCCTCAGACCGATCCGATGGCCCTCTCCCTGGGCACCAGGGACCCCCGCCGGGCCCCACAGGTGCTAAGGACTCCAGGTGGCGCGGGGCCCTCCCGTCTCCACCGTGCAGAGCCCCTCACGCTCCCCTCTAACCTGCTGCTCCCTCAGCTGGATGACACCACTGCCCAGGCTGACCCTCCCTCTGCCTGTGACCCCCTTAGAGGGCTCGTCCCCCAGCCCCCACTCCCCTGCCCCCTCCTCACTCCCCAGCCTGGGCCTGTGGGCCTTATGCCCCAGTGA